ATCTCCAACAAAGAGTTCAAGAGTTTTGAGGTTGTAGGTCATCCCAAACTATACGATTGACGTAGTTTAAATGATAATATAAGTAAATCCTTAATCACAAATTAAGAAACAATATTTATTTACGAGTAAAAATAGATATAGCCATTTAAAATAGATAATTTCAAAATGTGGCAAAAAAACTTTAGCTTTTCAATAATAACCCACTTAAAAGTAAGAACATGTGTACTAATGTTTTAGGGACGGAATTACTCTTTTCTAAAATGAGTTTGTTATTTTTACTTTTTCATATGAGAATCTACCTAACCATTAGGATAATTCAAATATTTTTAGAATCCTACCTATATTTTTCAAAAATTAAGTTTCCCAACCAATTTTAGAGAGAATTATACTAACAAATCTAAGAAAAGAATAATATTTAATAAACATTAATAAACAAAATGTAATTAGAAATATAAATACTCAAGCTAGAACAAATGGATGAAAAAAACAACAAATATGGTGAACAAAGAAACAAAAATACAACAAAAATACGATAAACAACAAATATGGTGAACATACAAACAAAAATACAACAAATACAGACAACAAATATGGTGAACAGACAAACAAAAGTATAACAAAAACGGTGAACACAAAAATACAAGAATAACAAATACAAATACGGTGAAGAAAAGAACAAATACGGTGAAGAGAGGTGTATTCTTGTGAACAAATAATACAAAAATAACTAAAAATAAGGAGAGAGTAACAAATACAATGAACAAGATCAACTAAAGAAATAAAAAAATAGTGTGAAGAAATAAGATATATTTTTGTGAATAATTAATACAAAAATACAAATTATGGAAACTCAACATATAGGCCTCCCTCTCTTTTACCCTCCACCCGCCGCCGCCGCCCCACTTGCAACTCATTTCTATCRTTGCCCCACCGTTGTTCCCTACTCGATTCCATCAATTTGTTGCATCTTCTCCCTTTTGGCTTTGTCAACTATAGATTCCCTCTCTGATCTGGGATGTCTCCTTATAATTGACTAATTTTATCTCCATATATATCTAGGAGAGATAAAATATAGGAGTGATAATGGAAGTTAGGATATTTTGATTTTAAAACTAATAACTAAATAGAATGATAAAAGTGTCAAATATAAAACTTGCAAAACAGTTAGAATAATATAAATSTACATTTGATCATTCTGCAATTTTTCAATATTTCGACAAATAGAGACACCTACCRTAAATTCTTAGTAAAAAATCTCAACTCKTTCTTCTAAATCTCTCTGGTTAACACTAAGGGGATGTTTGGCCCGAGGGTTTGGCTTGGGATGAGTTTGACATCCTAAGCCAGCCCTATGTTTGGCCCATGAATTTGGAACCCATGGGCTTACATAAAAAACAAGTATTTTCTTTTTCTTAATATATTTTATTTTTTTATTTTTTTTCTTTTTAAATATCTTCCTTACCAATGTTTGAAATGTTGAAGATGAAATACCGACATCGACTGATATTTCAAGAAGAAACTTGTAAATTATGGAAATTAATATAAATTATTTAAGTTAGTAAATGAGAGTTTAATGGTATAATTAGGTTATAATTGACAATTTTTAACCATCATTTCTTAACATATCAGTAATATTTATAATGAAATATCGATGTCAATACAAAATTCCATAAATAATCATAGAGACGTGAAAATTGGTGAAAATTGGTGAAAATTGTCTTAATTGAGAGTTTAATCGTAATCTAATTATGTTATTAATTAAGTTATAATAAAACATATTTAAACAAGATTTAAAATGTTGATATCGAGGGAAATGTCGAACTTCTAATTTTAGAGAGTACATATTGATGTTGGAAATTTTGAGAACATTTGTGGAAATCACGAAAACTTGTAGAAATTATTTAGTTAAAAATGAGGTTCTAATKGTAGTTTASTTAGACTAAAATTCAAACCTTTCAATCTCCAAATTTACAAATTTAAGTAATGTTGTTATTTTTTAAATTATTAAAAAAATGAAATAATTTTAGAAATATTTGAATATCTATTATAGTAATTAAAGAAAGAGAAATTAAAAAATTTGAAAGAATTTTTTTAAATTATTATTTTTTAAACAACAAATAATGTAAAAAGTAAAATCGAGAAATAAAAAAATAAAAAATAATGAGAATGTTGAGGGAGGGAGGATAGAGTCAATTGGGGATAATCCCACCTCGCCCACCTCGGCCCATAGGTATGAGAGTGCATAAATTCAAATTATAGTTGAAAAATATATAAATTAAGAAATGCAAATTTCAAAATAGATAGATTAATTGTCTTCTTRACAAATTGTCTAAAATTTTAATTACATTATATCTCATATTTAATCTTTTGCTAAAAAAACAAATAAAAAAAAWTGAAAAACTTAGATTACCCAACCCTGCACCCCAAATTGAGGCTATTAAAACCCAGRCTACACAACACTCTAACATCAAATCCTCAAACTTAACAAATCCAGGCTATTGATTCCGACTCCGTGGGCCAAACGCCTCCTAAGCCTCAAGGTACAAGCTCAAATCCATAGTTTATTTAAAGTCATTTACTCTCAAAGACTCCAACAAACTCAAAATAAATTTCATCCACAAACTCACAAATGATAAAAAAAARAAAAAAGAAAACTGTTTTTAAAACCTAATGCAAAATACAATCCCTCTTACTCAAGTTTTTTTTCATCAAAATAAATATTTGTACTTTCTTTATTTTCTATTTCTTTATTCTTTTATCCTCCTTTTTTTTTCCCATGAATCCACCCATTTTTCCTTTCTCCTCCTTTCCACTTCTCTTCTTTAGGAAAATTACTTCACTTGTATCTATTTATTCTCTTCACTAACTCAAGACCTATAATTTCCTCCATATCTTTCTAATTTTTCTAATTCCTCTTTCAACCCGAACTTCAAAGCCAAAAGCTAACAACAAAAATGATCAAGAACAAAAATGGAGAAACCAATGGGTGTTCTATTCAACCCCAACCCCAACCCCAAATGAGAGTATTCTAGAAACCCACAAAAATTCTTGAAAAATTTAAGGAAAAGAGACCCATGAGATAAATCTTCTATATTTCCTCTCATTTTCCTTAAAACAAGGCTGAACCTAACTGACCGAATCATAGCTTCAATCCACGTATTTGGTTGTCATCAACTTAAAAACAAGGCCTCTATTTTGATAAATATTTAAATATTAGAATTTTTAAAAATTTATGTAATTAGATGCCTAAAAATGGTCTAGTTGCATTGTTATCCCTCAAAATAACCTCAAACTCTTTTTTTTTTTTTTGAAACTACATAAAATGCAATTAAAGTTAATAAAAATGTACTTTAGACAATTAATATGATATTATCTATATGTAACGACACCATATAAATTAAAAACAAAATTGAGCATTGGAATTATTAGCAACAATTAGACCATAAAGGTCCCACCAACTTATATATTATTTTCTTTTGTTAAAAAAAATTATCATATTTATATACAAAATTTGCAATCTCTCTTTTTCTCATTTTTTTAAAAAAAAATTGACATAGTCTATGATTTTTTGTTTTCTTTAAAAATAAAATTAATGTTAATTTTTCCTCTTACGGAAAAACTGAATAGAAAACATTATGTAACAATCACGAATTACGAAAAAAATCATGAATTATGGAAAAAAAATACTAAAATAAAAGCGTGGAGGTGCAGGTTCGAACAAAGGCACGGAGGGATAATGGGGAGTAGGAATTAAAAAAAAAAACGAATTACAAAAGAGAAAAAAAAAAAGAAAAAACAAAAGCACAAAACTAGGAGAGGTAAGTATAAATTTGATAATTGTTGATAGATATTTTATAAATCAATTATATAGTTTCAAAAATTTTAAGGTGAGCGGACAGCCCAAGGCACATTTGCCTTAAAATGGATGCATTTCTTTTTATTCATGGAGTGCTAATCTAATACTGCAGAAATTTTTGTCATTGTTAATGTAGAGACATGAAAATAAAAGCGGAGAGAAAAGTTCAACCTGTAAATGTTAGAGAAAAAAATAAAAAGAAAGGGAAGAAAAGTTATARTAAAAGAAAATTGAAGAAAAACAAAATAGATAGAGAAAAGTTATATATTTTCTAGAGCACAAATAAATTAAAAAAAATTATAAAATGCGAAATTTGAGTGAGAAAAGTTTAGAAAAAATATTAAATTTTTAGAGGAAAAAAATGATTATGATATGTTAGAAAAATAAAGAAATTAAAATATATAGAGATAAAAATTTTAGAGACATAATAATAAACCTAAAAAATTTAGAGAGAGAATTTTTTAGAGACAGAAATTTCAGGAAGAAAAAATTTTGAATGAAAAAGAAATTAGTTGAATAGAATATGTCAAACAAAGAAAAAGTCGAGCCTTACCGGAAAATGAGATTTTGAAAAAAAACTATTTTTTTTTAAATTTACATAAAATTTTAAATTTTTTTTAAAAAAATTGAAAACAGAAAATTGAATTGATTATCAAACAAATTTTTTTAAAAAAATCAAAGAATGAAATGGTTATCAGATGTGCTCTAAATTTAATGTATTTCTATTTTTAATTAGTTATGTATTCTAATTTTGTTATATTTATAATTACTTCCTTTGAGTTGTTATTTTTTAATTATGTAAATTAAGTTGAAGAAGAAAGAAGAAGAAAACAACAAATTATATTTGATTTTTTTCCTTCTTTCTGAAAGAAAAATCTATTATAATTTGGGATGTTAGAACTTTTCTTGTTTGCCAATAATAAAATATTGTTTTTTTGTACTTTAATTAGTTGGCAATCCCTTGATGAAGAAAATTGGCCGTCTTTTAACTTTAATTTAATGCAAATTGGATGAGAGATTCAACCCCAACGCAATTATTTCCAAAAACAAAAAGATATATAAATATAAATATAAATATAAATTAGTTTGACTAGAAAATGTCTATTGAAATTTTGATTATTGATAAGCCAAGGGATGCATGAGAAGCAAAGCTGTGAGATAAATCAATGGAGTTCATAAATTGGTTGCTGCTGATTCTTGGAGTCTTTGTTTTTGTTTTTGGGGTTTTGAAGAGATTAAATGGTTGGTATTATGCAGTCAAGTTGGGGAAGACATGGGCCGAGCTTCCTCCTGGTGATCTTGATTGGCCACTTCTCGGTTCCACTTTGTCCTTCATCAAGTATTTCACTATCGGTCCACCTGAAAATTTCATTCGCACATTTCCACCAGGTCTCTCCCTTTATTAGATCTTTTCTCGAATTCATCATGGATCATGTTTATATTCTATTTGATCATAATTTGATACTATATCTTCTCCCTTTTGAAAAGCCTTTAGAAAGGGCTTTGTTGATCCAGTGCGTTTAGTCTTGCTTAGTTATAAACGACATGATTAAACAACTAGAGAGAGTTGACTTAAAAGGTTGTCTAACAATGTAATTATTAAAAGTTTTAAAATTTTTTTTTTCCTGAATTTATTAGTTAAAATCGAAGAAACGTATTTAAAAGATAAACTAAGCTTTCTTTTTGTTTAGAAAATTATGAGATCATAAACAATATGATTATGGTTCAATTGCCAAGGTAGCTTAAACAATGTGATTATGGTTTAATTGTGATAGAAGTTAGCTACTTTGAGAAACTACCAAAAAAAAAGATCAATAGAGATTCAAATCATGGTTTTTTTAAAGACATATCCTAAAGCTTTAAAAGCGTCAGCCTAAAATTCAAAATGGCGTTGTGTTGGTATTTTATCGACTTTTCCAGCGCTTTTAATAAAGCATCGGAAAAAATTTTGTGTTTTTATTTTAATTTTTATTTTCGATGTTTTATCAAAATTGTTGGAAAAAATCGATCATACCTATAACTTTTGCATGCGTAAAAAAAAATCGGTATCCCCTGCCATATCTGCATCTACATATCCCTGCAGTTTAAAATCTGATCTTTTAAAGTGCAGAGCATAATCAGCGTCTTCCTCAAGTATCTGAATATCCACTTCACAACCTCCAAATGTTGCTTTCCTAGATTACTCATATACCTGCTGACAACTCCCACTTCATGTGCAATATTAGGTCTTGTACAAACCATGAAATACATCAAGCTTCCTATAGCCGAAGCATAAGGCACTTTAGCCATATAATCTCTTTCCTGCTCAGTAGTCGGTGAATGCTCATTAGATAATTTAAAATGTAGCTAAAGGAGTACTCACAAGTTTTGCATTTCTCATATTAAACTTTTTCAGTACTTTATTAACATACTCTTTCTGTGACAATATCAAAATACCATCTTTTCTCTCTATCCTCATCCCTAGGATTTGTTTGGCAACTCTCAAATCTTTCATGTCAAATTCTTTAGATAATCCAGCCTTTATCTTCAGAATTTCTTCTTTGTTTGGTCATGCTATCAACATGTCATCAACATATAGCAATAAAATGATGAATGAGTTACCCTAAGTTCTTATATAACAACAATGAGCTGTCTAACACCTCTGAAAATCCACTGCTGCACACAAAATTGTCAAACTTCTTATACCATTGTCTGGGCGCCTGTTTGAGACCATACAGGCTTCTCTGAAGTTTGCATACCATTTTCTCTTGTCCCTGTATTGTAAATCCCTATGACTGCACCATGTAAATTTCTTCTTCCAAATCACCATGAAAAAAGCTGTTTTTACATCCATTTGTTCTAGGAACAAATCTTCTTCTGCCACTATCGATAGAACAGTCCTAATGGTAGTTAGTTTAATTACAGGAGAGAAAATCTCATTAAAGTCAATACCTTCCTTTTGTTGAAAGCCTTTGATTACAAGCCTTGCCTTGTATCTTTTGCTACCGTCGGGCTCCTGTTTGATTCTATATACCCATTTATTCTGCAAAGCTTTCTTACCTCTTTGTAACTCAGCAAGTTGCCATGTTTGATTGATCATTAGACAACTCATTTCATCTTTCATTGCTAACTCCCACTTAATAGAGTCTTCCAGCTGAACCGCCTTTTCATAACATTCAGGTTCACCTCTGTCAGTCAGTAAAATGTAATTCAATGTAGGGGAATACCTCTGTGGTGGTATGATTGTTTTGCTAGATCTTCTAACTGTTGGTGGTGGTGTTCTCTGAACCTGATTAGTTTCCACAACTAGTTTATCAAATTCTACAACCTATTCATCAGATTCCACAACTGTTTCTTCAGGAGTAATTGTATTATGATCTTCAATCTCTGTTGTTTTAGTCTCAACCTCAGGAGGACTTATATACTGAGTCTTCTCTATGCTTCCATCTAACTCTGTCTTTCCTGAATCAACTTTATTTCTGTCTTTGTATAAGACTTTCTCATTGAAGATCACGTTCTTGCTTCTGATAATCTTCTTGGTTTATTCATCCCAAAATCTATAACCTATCTCAGCTCCACCATACCCAATAAAGAAACATTTCTTGGATCTGGCATCCAATTTACTCATGTCTACAGCATCAATGTGAAGGTAAGATACTCAACCAAAAACCTTTAGATGAGAAAGGTTTATATGTTTACCAGTCTAGACTTTTTTAGGCAATTTGAAGTCTAGTGATGTGGTCGGGCTCCTATTGATCAGATAGGTCGCACAATTGATTGCCTCTCCCAAAACATCTTAGCCATTTCTGCATGTATTCTCATGCTTCTAGCACGCTCATTCAACGTCATATTCATTCTCTCCGCCACACCGTTCTGCTGTGGTGTCACTGGAAGAGTGTTTACTATCACAATTACACTGTCTTCACAACATTTCTTGAATTCCCTACTAACATACTCACTACCATTATCTGACCTCAAGCTTTTGATTTTTAGGCCTGTCTCATTCTCTACCATAGTCTTCCATGTTTTGAAAACAGAAAACACATCAGACTTATATTTAATAAAATAAGTCCATACCTTCCTAGCTGCTTGAGTCGTCTATGAAAGTTACATAGTATCTGGAACCTCCAATGGAAGAAACTTCATAAGGCCCCCACACATCGGTGTGAACCAACTTCAATTTTGTAGACTTTGGCATTAAACCTGTCTTTGAGAAACTGACACGACTCTGTTTCCCAAATATGCATCATTCGCATAACTTGTGTTCCATTGCCTTAAGTCTTTCTAGCTTCCCTGTAGAGTGAAGAAGTTTCATACATTTTTCACTCATATGTCCTAGCCTACTGTGCCATAATTGGGTCTGACTCGAATGTTCTACAACAACTATCATATCTTTGTCGTTGTCGTTGACATACAAAGTTCCTAACTTTCTTCCTCGAGTGATCACCGTGGAACCCTTTGTAACTTTCCAGTTTCCTTGACTGAAGGATATTTCACATCCTTCATTATCTAGCTGCCCCATGGAAATCAGATTCTTCATCATATTCTGAACGTGACGTACCTTGCGAATCTTCCAGACTGAACCGTTCGCCATTTTTAAATTAACATCACCAATCCCAATGATGTCTAAAGGCTCTCCATCAGCAAGATACACCTTTCCCTGATTTCCTGCAACATAATTCTCAAGAATGTCATGTTGTCCTATTGTATGAAAAGACGCACCTGAATCGACCGCCCATATGTTATGAGCGCCCTCAACTGCAAGAACTAGAACATCATGTATTTATTCAACAACAATATTTGCACCAGCTTTTTTCCTCTCAGCTTTCTTTGAGGCTTTGCAGTTCCTCCTCAGATGTCCTGTCTTACCACAATTCCAACATTCTAGTCTGCTGTTTTTAGACTTGCTTCTGTTGTTTCTTGACTTTCCATGTTTTCCGTGGTCTTTGTTATTATTTCTTCCTCTATCCACATTCAATGCTATATCAGAAGCAAATGCAATACCATAATCCTTTCTGCGAATATCCTCTCCAAGAGCTGCACCTCTGATATCTGCGAATTTCAATTTCTCTTTTCCATAAGAATTTGATATAGCTGCCTTCATAGGCTCCCAACTGTCAGGTAAGGATCTCAACAACAAGATAGCATTTAATTCATCCGTAAATGTTAAATGCACAACAATCAGTTTGTTAATCAACGTATCAAATTCATTTATATGGGCAGCCATAGATGTATCTTCATCCATCTTCAAATTAAAAAATTTAGTTGCGAGATACGCCTTATTATTTACCGAGGGCCTCTTATATATGTTGGACAATGCATTCATTAGCCTCATTGTGGTAGTCTCCTTAGCTACACTGCTCTGCACATTTTTTTGTTAATGTTAGGCGAATCGTACCCAACACCTTCATGTCCAACTTTTTCCATTTGAATTCTTYCATGTCGTTTGACTTGTCTAATGGCAATTACAATTCCTTGGAATGTAGATAATCTACTATCTGATCCTTCCAGTATGAAAAATCAGTTCCATAAAAAATAACCAATTTATCTTCTCCAGTCATCGTTCTTTAACCTTGGGCTCTGATACCAATTCTTGTGAAAAATGCAGCCTACACTTAAAAGGATTAGATAAAATAATCTAAAATTGCTAAGTAACAAGAACGATAAATAAAGATTAGGGAGAAGAAAATTAAACGCCAGATTTATACTGGTTCACTCAGTGTGGGCTACGTCCAGTTCTACTACCGTTGCAGGTGTTGGGTGTGTTGCCCTAAACTCATAGTTTGTATTTTGTGTAAAAACAAATGTATATTCAATGAAGTTTTATTCAATAAATTTGTTGTTGAATTCATAGCATTGAATTGTCCAAAATCCAATAAACTAAACATCCGAGGTTATTTTAGTGTAACCGGGACAATATATGTACTGAGTATATATTTGATATACTGGGTATATATTTGATATACTCCTAATATACGAGGTATATATATTTGATATACCCCTGATATACGAAGTATATATATTTGATATACCTTGATATACAAGTGGATAATGTCTCGTGAATAACCTAAAGGGTCTATAGTATATGGATAAGGCTGGGTACCTTATCCTGACAACACTATGGATATGGCCCACTCTGTAAAGGTTACAGACGACTCGATCCAGGTCGTTCGTGTGGAGACATGCGAGTGGAGGTATCCTATACAATGAGTTTGTATAAGACCGGACCACGAAATAGCCAATCTTTTGATGTAACACCGTTAACTAATAGATTGCTGTTTCTTAGGACGACCAGACAACTCATTCTCAATCTTGAGTGAGTTATGGACTCCTGCCCGTGAGGGCTCGTCCTTTGATCTGTATGAGTGAGAGTGGCCCAAGTTGCCGACTCAATATTCCTACCATTTTGGGGACGAGACCGAGTGGGGAGCTGGGAACGTAACTCCACAAGATGGAATTCACTCCTCTCCGACTTTAAGGGAGTATATGAGTGTTCCCTTAAATGCTGACTCCGGGACTTGAACAAGGGGCCCCATCCTCTCATTGGCCCGAGAGGGACTTCCGGTTATTGGTCGGACCATAACCGGGTTGTTCACTAGAGGAGCAGTGGTATTTAAGGAGTAAGATGTAACTCAGGGGTAAAACGATAATTTGACCCAACTTGAGTTACAAGCACTCGTGAAGGATTGACTCGTCATTAATGGTCGTATATCCATGGACACGAAAACATTCTGCAGTGAGAAGAGTGCAATTACGAGGCTTTAGTGGAATGACCCGTAGTTAACGAATGTTGATTAACTCAGTCAATGAGTTTGACCGATTAATCTCGTATCGTTGGAGCTTCGGATCTGTAGGTCCATTAGGTCCCCTTGCTAGCTCATAGCGGGTAAAACGAGGATCAAATTTTTGGAAGAATTTGAATTGTTCAAATTTCTTAAGGGATTATATGTATATTGATACATTATAATATATAGTTAATTCTAAATTAAAACTATATATTATGAGAGAAATTATTTGAATGAGATTCAAATAAAATTAATATGAATATGATTCATATTAAAACTATAAGTTAAAAATAATGTGCATAAGATGTACATTACAACTATATGTTATGCGAGAGAAATGTTTTAGAATATGATTCGAATTTATAATAAATAATTAAATTTATTTGATTTATATATATTTATTAATTAATTATTAATTGGATTAATAATTAACTCCCATTTGCAGGGGAGTGGGCCTTAATATCCACTTAGAACAATCTTCAAGGACTAAAGGTAGTTAACATTTTCTTGAAAGTAAGATGGCAAGATATCATATCAATATCCTTGAGTTCCATCTCAAAACCAATTAACAATGAAAGGAGTAACACATGTCTATTATAAACTATTGTAAAGTCTCTTTTCTTTTCAATGTGAGATTCTTAACACTTCTGTCATATATTGTATCATTACTATTTTGAGAGATTTATAATTTTGCGATACTAAACTAATATTATTATACTATATTTTAGCAGTCAAAGTAAGCTTCGGTGTTATTAACGTATCATATTAATATCGAGAAACCTACATAAATATATAGGCTCGAAAAAGATTGGTCGAAATACTTCAATCAATCATCAATAAAAAGAGATCGGTGAAGAAAAGCAAAGCGGAAAGTTGGGAGGCAAAAGATATGATGGATTTGCTGATAGATTTGAAAGATGAAGATGGTGATGAAGAGTTGGATGATGAAACCATTGTAGATTTGATTTTTGGTAAGTTATTTGCAGGCCATGAAACTTCAGCTTACACTACAATGTGGGCAGTCTTGTTTCTAATGGATCATCCACATATATTCAAGAAAGCGAAGGTCAGCTTTGTTTCCTAATTTGTTAAGAGATCCAATTTTTTGTTATGTTTCTAGCTATTTCTTATTTCTTGTTTTATGTTTTATTGAGGGATTACATAACTACATTTGGGAACAGGGAACAGGAATAAGGAAGAAAAAAAAAGAAAAAGATAAAAAGAAACTTTATTTTGTTGCTTTCAAGATTTCTAAACAATTTTAAAAATGGTTAAACATGACAAAGGAGAAATAAGGAAAAGTTGCGCATCAAACAGTTACATTTCACAAAAAGCTAAAAATGAAAAAAAAAAGGGAACATTGTCAAATTGACTATAAATAAGCCAAAGGGAACATTACCATGTCTTCGATGTTGATAGAAATGTTCAAGTCTCAGTTTTGATAAAATGTTGACGTTGCAGGAATTATAAATTGAAAAAAAAATCATTAATATTATATTATGGCCATATAAGTGATATTTTGTTAATATTTTATATATTTTGTCATATTTTTTTCTTGCAATAATATGGTGTCAATTCACCTCTCGTTAATAGATATCAAACTCATCCTTAAAAATGTTGACATGTGGATGAAAATTAAATACTCTATTTGGATTTTAGTTTTGTGTATGGGTCGATATTCAAATGTGTTCTTACAATAAAAAGGAAAAAAGTTGTTCAAATTATGTCAATCCTTTTCAAGAGGTTTGTGAAATTTAAGATATTACAACAAAATGGTTAAGTAGTTTTTATTATTTGAATGGTCATTTTTTTAAGATTCATTTGTTTTAGGAAGAACAAGAGGACATCATCAGACGAAGACCCTCAACGCAAAAGGGAATAAATCTCTCAGAGGTTAAACAAATGAAATTTCTTTCTCAGGTATGTATTTAAATTGCCATTTATATGTTCTAAATCAAAAGCTTTTACTTTAGTTTCATTTCTAGTTTAAAATCAAGCATTAAATGATATGAGTAAAAACATTAGCTTTGGAATTTTATGATTTTAAATAGGTTAAAAAATACATTTGATCCATGTATTTACATTAATGAATGATTCAGTTGCTTCATTTTGAAATTGGTAACAAGTCTACAATTTAGTTCCTCAAGTTTAGTATGTAATAGTTCCGTCCCTGTACCTTAAATTTTGTAACGATTTAATCCATACTTTTGAAAATTTTCATCAAAATTAAGTATCGATTTTTCTAATATAATGCTTTAGTCTTTGTAATTTATAAACACATTTGGTTCAAACTACATATATAAAAAACCTTATTAAATATCAACAAAAATTTTCAAAATAAAGACTAATTATCACACAAATTATTACAAACTTTAAACCACAAGGACTAAATTGTTATTTAATACTAAAAGACTAAATTGTTATTAATTTAAAAGTACAAGAACTAAATTGTTACACACTAAAGTTTAGGGACTAATTCGTTATTTTTTGTAGAAGTACAGCAATCAAAAGTGTTTTTTTAACCTTTTAAATATAATATAGTAATGATTTATAACCATTGGATCACAATTTTATTTTATTTTTATTTTTTGTCTTTAGATAGTAAAAGAAAGAGTTGGTGTTGATTAGAATTATTTTATTTTAAAATTTGGCTAATATTTCAAATTATTTTTACAATCGCTATTACAAAACCAAAAATACAAATTGTCAATAAATTCTGTTATTTAAAAAATAATAGTAAAGATAAAATTATTATCAAACGTAGGTTTAAATAAATAGCTATCGGTTGAAAAAGAGACATTATTGATGAGATTTAATATATTTGTATTATCCCAGGTGATAGATGAGACACTTCGTCTTAGTGGCATCACATTTGTCCTTTTTCGAGAGGCAATAGTCGATGTTGAAATTAATGGTCAGTAATTCATTTTCTTCCCTAAGAACTACTAAATTAGCGATGTATCTTCATCGTAAAACCTTCAAATTACTTCCATAAAATGTGAGAATCAAAATATATAACTTCTTATTGTTGAGCTCTTATTTAGGATTTGTGATATAACTTGTGTTTTCCTTTTATTTTGTTTAAGGTAAAATTATACCAAAAGGATGGAAAGTCATACCTTGGCTTAGGGAGCTTTACATGGATGCAAATTTACATCCTTCCCCACAAGAATTCAATCCTTCAAGATGGGATGTAAGTGATTATTCATATTTTTATATCACAACTATGAAGGGTCAATTAGGTGATTTACAATCATATTAAAATAAGAAGTCGATGACTATTTAAATATGTTATTGCAATATCATTCTCTCAACTAATCCATATATTAGCTAAATTTCGTGAATGAAAATTAATATAAGGGCCTTGGATATTATAATTTATCATGAATATCTTAAACTCATATGATATATATTTTTTTAATTCTATTTAAAATGTCATATTATTAGAGATATCGTCTTTGTTCTACCAATACATAATCTCTTTCACTTGTAAATCGATATAAGAAAGTTTAAACTTTTGAAATTCATAATGTCATGTATGTGTTGTTGAGATACTCATAAATGAATTAAAGCTATTGAGTTGAGTGGTGGTTTATTCATCTTTAGCTTGGGATCAATGCAGGAGGTCCTGTGTTTAAACCCTTGTATTGTTGCTTAAGCCTTTCGTTTTTTTTAATAGTATTCATGACATTCTTTTATTTGCTTTTTTTTTTATAGAATTTTATAGCCCAACCTGGAGCTTTTACTCCGTTCGGATTAGGAAATCGGCTGTGCCCTGGAAGAGATCTTGCGAAGCTCGAGATCTCAATTTTCCTTCACTATTTTCTCCTCCATTACAAGTGAGTTTGCTACAATTTTCATTTGATAAACTTTTAAGCAATTAAATTAGAGACCTCTCTCATAATATACCATCAATATTTGCATTTGTAATTCAGGGTGGAACGGCTTAATCCAAAATGCCAATTGACTTTCTTGCCACTCCCTCATCCCAAAGATAAATGCTTGGCAAGAGTTCTCAAAGTGGCATGACAATGTCTACAAATTATGCCTCTCAAAATCTTCCTTGGTTCGACAAGATAAACCTTGGATTATATTAATTAAGCATCTAATATTTGATATATACAGTGTGTATATATGTGTATGGATGGATGAATCAAATATTAATATAATAAATTCCTTATTATTGTCAAGAAAATTATTATTTTTATACTAACAATAAAAATATATTTAAGAAACAAAAAAAAATGCTGGAACGGAAATCAAATTCAAGTCACTCATGCTGTTTCATGTTTTCCCAGTGGATTTAGTTTGCATTCTGTAGAGCATCCCATTCCACCACAAATCCACTACACCACCAACCGCCGGCCAATAATGATAGATTAACTGTATTGTTAATTAGTTATGTATTATAATTTCATTATATTTACAATTAATTTTTTAGTTGTCATTTTTTAATTATGTAAATTATATGTTGAAGAAGAAAGAAGAAGAAAACGACACCTTATATTTGACTTTTTTTTTCCCTTCTTAAAGAAAGGTCTATTATAATTTAGGATGTAAGAACTTTTCTTGTTTGCCAATAATAAAATATTGTTTGTTCTGTACTTTAATTAGTTGGTAATCCCTTGATGAAGAAAATTGGCAGTCTCTTAACTTTAATTAATACAAATTGGATGAGAGATTCAACCCCAGGGCAATTATTTCCAAAACAAAAAGATATATAAATATAAATATAAAATATAGTTTGACTAGAAAATGTCAGAGCTGAGCATGGAGATTTTTGATTATTGATAAGCAAAGGGATGAGAAGCAAAGCTGTGAGATAAATCAATGGAGTTCATAAATTGGTTGCTGCTGATTCTTGGAGTCTTTGTTTTTGTTTTTGGGGTTTTGAAGA